GGTCATTTGTATGTTTCCCCAGTAAAACCCGCGTTGTTACGCATTTTATTCACGGAGTATGGAGTATGACTTGAAGGGCTTTACGCGCAGCTGAAAACAACATAATTCATCTTTAGAGTAATCCATGTTAACGTATTATCACTTTTTTATCAAAATTGTCCGAGGCTATTTTGCATATAAGTCGAAATTTTTTAACTGTGGCGATTTTTTAACGAAAAATGACAGAAAAATAGCTGTTTCTGTCGTTTTTGGCCCAAAAAACAATGTAACTGTCATTTAAAACAAAATAGCCTCGGAAAAAAATAATAAATAGGGGGTTGGCTTTCTACTTGTAAAATATCATGATGAAAGGTGTTGTTACCGCTTGCGCGTAAAGCCATGAAGTAAACAGCTTTTTTTAACCAAAATGTTGATTTTTAACCCAAAAATTCAGAAGTAGTAAAAACAAAATAACCTTTATTCAATGTGTTTCATGTACTACTAGAACTGTGTGAAGTTTAGTTGTGGTGCGACCAAGCTATCAAAAGTTACGGCCATATGTATGAAATACTAATCATAGTTGGCCATAGGCTGCCTTAACCCAACCGAGAAATCTTGAGATGAGAAGACAGATCAGAGAGTGTGACAATTGTGCCACCTGTCTACATTTCCTGGAATTGCAATTACAAACATGTAACAAACCTAACAACAGTGAGCCAAGCCAACAGCAGGTAGCTAGGACTTAGGAGAGGACTGTTTTAGACATTATCAAATTAGGTGATGTTGTTAGATGTCGGACGCCTGCGGTAGGAGGTGCGAGGCCATGATGCCATGGCCTCACCCCTTTATGTTGTGTGACTGAGTGTTAGAGCTATGGTCTTCCCGCCATAGCTCTTATGCACATGTGCGGGGGTCCCCCTGGGGATCACTCTGGAATGAGATTCTGGATGTGAATACACTGTGGGAATGGGCAGAGACTGTGTTGTGTCTATTTCCTGGATAGAGGAAGGAGTTAACACTGAGATGGCAACACCCCTTCGTGTAGTTTAATTTTTTTTTAATTCCCAAGGAACATGCTAGTGCTATGATCAATTACGATATTTTGCATTTTACTTGAGATAAGGTCAATATTCACCTGAATTGATTTTATGCCCAAGGGAGATATAAAGTATAACCTTCTACAGCAGTCTGATTAATTCCCTAGGTGATTACTTCCTCTTAATGATCCACCTAAATTGTCTTTCTATAGGATGTTAACTCTCCTTCAATTTGTGTAGGTTGTTACCCCTAAACCACCTATTCCCTTTTTTCAGCCTGTTAGATTTTTTGTTAGGTTCTTAAATGCCCCATGCTCTACTGGGTCCAATATCTTGCCACTGGTTTTGTAAGCGGTCCTGTATCCGAACTCCCCACACATGTAGGGTTTCTCACCGGTATGTTTTGCTAGATGTTGGTCCAATGCACCTTTCTGTGCAGCAGAATAGCCACACTGGTTACACTTGTAAGGTTTTTCTCCAGTATGGGTTCTCATATGTTTGGATAATACAGATTTGTAAGCAGTCCACACTCCTCACACATGTAGGGTTTCTCACCACTATGTTTTTGTAGATGCTGGTTCAAGGTTGATTTCGTTGTAGCAGAATAGTCACACTGGTCATACTTGTAGGGTTTTTCTCCTGTATGGGTTCTCATATGTTGAGATAGGTAAGACCTTTTAGCTGTCCTGTATCCACACTCCGCACACATGTAGGGTTTCTCACTAGTATATTTTTGTACATGTTGGCCCAGGGTGCATGTCAGTGCTGCAGAATAGTCAAACTGGTCACACTTGTAGGATTTTTCTCCTGAATGGGTTCTCATATGTTTGTATAAGCCAGACTTTCCAGCTACTCTGTACCCACACTCCCCACACATATATGATTTCTCACCGGTGTGTTTTGCTAGATGTTGGTCCAAGGCACCTTTCTGTGCAGCAGAATAGTCTCACTGGTCACACTTGTAAGGTTTTTCTCCTGTATGGGTTCTCATATGTTGAGATAAGTACAGATTTGTAAGCAGTCCTGTATCCACACTCCTCACACAAATAGGGTTTCTCATCGGTGTGTTTTGCTAGATGTTGGTCCAAGGCACCTTTCTGTGCAGCAGAATAGTCACACTGGTCACACTTGTAAGGTTTTTCTCCTGTATGGGTTCTCATATGTTTGGATAATACAGATTTGTAAGCAGACCTGTACCCACACTCCTCACACATATATGGTTTCTCACCGGTGTGTTTTGCTATATGTTGATCCAAGGTACCTTTCTGTGTAGCAGAATAGTCACACTGGTCACACTTGTAGGGTTTTTCTCCTGTATGAGTTCTCATATGTCGAGATTAGTGGGACCTGTTAGCTGCCCTGTACTCACACTCCCCACATATGTAAGGTTTTTCTCCTGTATGTGTTCTTATATGTTGGGATAATACTGTTTTGTAAGCGGTCTTGTATCCACACTCCTCACACATGTAGGGTTTCTCACCGGTATGTTTTGCTAGATGTTGATCCAAGTTAGCTTTCTGTGCAGCAGAATAGTCACACTGGTCACACCTGTAGGGTTTTTCTCCTGTATGGGTTCTCATATGTTGGGATAACACAGATCTGTAAGCTGTCCTGTACCCACACTCCTCACACATGTAGGGGTTTTCACCAGTATGTTTTTGTAGATGTTTGTCCAGGCTATATTTATGTGCAGCGGAATAGTCGCACTGGTCACACTTGTAGGGTTTTTCTCCTGTATGAGTTCTGATATGTCGAGATAAATGGGACCTGTAAGCTGTCCTGTATCCACACACCCCACACATGTAGGGTTTTTCACCAGTATGTTTTTGTAGATGTTTGTCCAGGTTATATTTCTGTGCAGCGGAATAGTCACACTGGTCACACTTGTAGGGTGTTTCTCCTGTATGGGTTCTCATATGTCGGGATAAGTGGGACCTGTTAGCTGTCCTGTACCCACACCCCGCACACATGTAGGGTTTTTCACCTGTATGGGATCTCATATGTATGGATAAGTCAGACTTTTGAGCTGTCCTGTATCCATACAAGTCGAAATTCCGTGCATTTATCTGACCTGCTGCTGTGCTTGTTTTGCTGTCACAGTTGACCTGAGAAACCCCAATGGGATACCCTTCATATGAGTTACCAACCTCGGTGGGAGACCCGTGTCCTGCTGATGCCATGTTGAGCCTAATGAAAATGAAGAAAGCAATAAAAAAAACTATTAATGATCAAATTAGGTCTACAACTTATCCAGTTCCCACTAGCTATACAATTTCAACCTAATTCATTATAACTAGAAACCTAAATGTTTCGTGATGGAAGGTTATGTTGCCTTTTTCATATTAGTACAAATTTGCTACAATTTAGAAATTTAGTGTGAAATCTTATAATCACTCACTCACTTTCCCGAGCCAAGAAGATCAAAACATTTTTATTACATTATTAATTTTTTCAAAACGACACCAAAATGTATATATTAATCCTCAAACACCCAAACTTTTTTTCGTGACGTTAATGCCCGAACGGGATCCAAATGGACCCCATTTGCTTTCTTTCAAATCCATATTCCTTTTTGCATCCTTTCAGTGATCTTTGCACATATATTGGTTAAACATATTAAGACGTTTATTTTGGCATAATTAAGTGTTTAAAAATCCCAGCTCATTATCATAATTTATGCAAAAATTGGATGAGGCCTGCAGGCATGAACATGTGCTTGACCTTTGACCTCATATGGTTGTCAAATTGTCAAACCTCTAAAAACCTAATGGAATAATTCCTAAAATTGAGATTACTTGGCAAACTGCATAATATTGAAGCAATAATGCTTCCTTGAAGACATATTGAGGACATCTAAACAATTTCGTGTGTAGGAAAGTGCAAATACATGGCTGGGGTCCGTTGGGACCCCAGACGGTCTTACATCAGACTTCCGTTGTTGTTTTTACAAATTTGTGCCGATCTCTAAAAAAAAATTAGGAAAACTTGTAAAAGAGGTTTACTGACAAAGTCACGGGAGGAATTTTTTTTAAATAAAAAAAATTCAAATAGCACATAAAAATATACGTCTGGGGTCCAAATGGACCCCGTTCGGGTGTTTGAGGGTTAAACAATAAGGACAATCTAATTTCTAATCTACAAACAATACGGATTACTGCAAACACCTCCCCCACGACCCCTGGTTCGCTATATAACACTTAGTCTACTTCACAGACTTGTGCGTTGGCGGCGTAGAACCCATCGGACTAGCCAGTTGGTTACGCCTTTAGCTACTAAGCTTTACCTCGCTAGCGCTGTTTTCGCATACCTATTATAGGTGTTTTCTAAATTTATTACCTTCGCCAAGATGGTAATGTTTTCGGTAGTGTTTGTCTGTCTGTTTGTGAACAGCATTACTCAAGAACCTTTACATGCATTGTCATGAAACTTGGTAGGTGGGTAGGTCTTGATGAGACTTAGAAATGATTAGATTTTGGACCCCCTGGCGGCTTTTGATGGTGCTGCAGCAGAGCTTCTGGTTTTGATATCTCATGATCTGGACATACTAGGGTCACGAATTATTTAAATCATGACCTCAGTTGCATAATTTATTATGAGGTGCTAGAATGACCTTTTTTTGTTAAGATAAGGCTGTCATTTGGTGGGGAATAGGATCAACTGATATCATCAATGCAAATGAGGCTCATTTTCAAAATCAATGAGTAAAAACATACAATTCGTCTACCGGAAGGGTTAACGTCATTTGGCGAAGGTATGAGATCATGGAACTCTTGTTTAATATCATTTACGTCTTTTGCCTTTCTTAACAGCATGGTTAAACCTCTCAATACTTCTATATCACTACGTCCTCCAGAAAAAGACACTGCCTGATACACCATGATGCAGTAAAGTACAGTGAATAATAATGTGTCCCATGGGGTTCGCCCCCCCCCACACCACCTGTCACTGAATACCATCCAGTAGATTTATGAATAATTATGACCGATTTGACAGATTTATGACCGATTTATGAATAATTTATCAAGGCCCACGAAACGGTTCTTTCACTTGCAGAGTAGCAAATGATCCGTTGGCACACGATGGGAGAAAACGTTTTTCACACGCATTGTTCGCATTGTGGATATACATTACAAAGAGAATTTTCGTAGGACTTCCATTACTTTAGTTTACAGCATGGGTATTGATCATGAGAACGGATATCTTCATAATCCTGCTGGCTGTTTTACAAGAACGGCACAATAAAACAGTTTTCAATACAATTACGACTAGGCCGATAACATTTTATTTGATAACGCAATGAAGCCAACTTGGTTTGAGTTAATATAGCATTAACATGAAACAAGGTGCTAATAGCCGCTAGTCGTTGACCTTTCAGCAGCCCTCTGATTAGTCTCCGCTAGAAACGTACTGGATGTCGTATAGTGTACATGGGACCCCCCCCCCCTCCTCCTTCATTTTCACCCTCCATATTCATATCCATATTCACATCCTGAAAAATCCTATAAATTATCGCCGTACATACTTACAGAAAATAACACAAACTATTGCTCTGCACATCAGACTACATCACTCCTTACCTCCTAGCCTTACCTGCTCCCTATGACGTTTTTTTTTTGTTTTTTTTTTTCTTCACGTAAGGCCGGACTCGGATGACAGCTTTCTTTGTTCCTCTGTGGCTTCGTGAGGTCAGAGATCAACGCAAAGTAGGTCAAAGGTGAAACAGTAGGCCTGATTACCCATGTCACATCTTACCTTTATTACCCGTGACGTCTTAGATTTAATATAGCCGCGTCGACTGTTGCAGGGCTTCTCTTGCTTGCAGTGTTGTTAGGGCTAATGTAAAAGACTGCAAGCAAGAGAAGCCCTGCAACAGTCGCCGCGGCTAGATTTAGTAAGATCCATTACATGGTTAATCAGACCTACCATTTAGTTTCAAAACTAATGTAAATCATGCTAACAGCCCCAATCTACATTATTATTAACTTGTAGGTTGTGCCACATCCCCATACCTTTGAGAAAGTTTGAGAAAATTTGATTTTTTTTTTTTAGTTTCAGCGCGTTAAACTCCCTGTCCGTGTCTGCCCACTGGTTTCATGCAGACACACATGCATATTCAATGCCCGTAGCGTTCTTCGTGCTGTCTATGACTTAAAGTAATATATCTACGCTCATGGCGTTGTAATCATGATTTTTGTTGCGGAGGATAACAAAATGCTAGGTTTGTTCCATAAAACGACAAGATAACATGCATACGGAAATGCTCATGAGAAAGTTTTTATAGGCTTAACCCTACCTAGACCGGGCTTTTTTTGACATGGGGGGCCGGGGGGGGGCTCTTTTGAGCCCCCTAGGAACTCGCGAACGGTATGTCGTATGACCACCAAATTTTTAGAGAATAGTGTACTAGTGAAAATTTATCATATCTACAATTTTTATGTCGTTATAATGTAATATGACGCCATTATGACGTCATTAATGTGATTTTTTTGGCCAAAACCGTCTAAATAGGTTTTTCCCTGAAAACTAAATGGTATTCAACATAACTGTACCAAAAGTGTTTATGACAGAATATTATGGTGTACTAAATCTTATGTTGCCCATAGCAACACCGATGACGTCATAAAATGACGTCATGCATATTTAAGATATCCGCCATCTTGGATCATCAATCTTGAATTTTCAAAAATAGTTTTTTTTTCATGATAAAGCCTAAAATACATTGTAAACATACTAAATACCTTCATTTAAACCTTTTTTGGAAAAAGAAATGGAAGTATTGGTTAAATTTTAATGAAAATAACCTGTATATACCTGTTCTAATGATATGGTCCGCCATCTTGGATTTTGGCCAATGACGTCATCAAATTAGCATAAATTATACATATTTAATGATAAAATTAATATAAAATTATATGGGATGTTATTAATATTAGAAACCATGAGTAACTTGACATAAAACCCATAAAATTCTATTGTTGAAACAAAAACTACTAAATTTAGCAAAAAATGCCTGTCAGAAACCCGTTGCCATGGCAACACAAAAATTATTATCTTATTCCAATGATAGAGAATTGTTGCCAACAA